TACTGGAGTGTATGGTGTGTGTACTGGTGTATGTACTGGTGTATACCGGTGTGTGTACTGTAGTGCAACATAGCAGCAGTGATGTGACTGCAGCAGTTGTTCAGAGCTCTGACTGAGGTTCACGTTGGGAAAACACCCTCTTCATCTCCTTGCGGGGGGTCACGTGACTCCGGCTGCCACGTGGCGCTCTGATTGGTCGATCCCCATTCTTACAGAAAAATAACACGAATATCATTAAACTAAAAAACATTTTGGTAGTAATATATGTATATATATATACATATATTACTCCCCATCATAATGCGCCGGGGCTCGTCATCTTTGGCCAGCAATGATGATGATGATGATGATTTTTCTTTGCTATTGCATCGTTGCCATGGCGACCGGGCCGCTCCTCCACACCCACGCTGCTTATCCCCCCCCCCCTCTATCTCTCTCTCTATCTCTCTCTCGAGAAAAGAGAGAGAGAGAGAGAGAGAGAGAGAGAGGTGTGTTTTCTAACCCACGCATTAGAGTGGGAGACAACGTGCACACTCACTCACACACACACACACACACACACACACACACACACACACTGGTATGCACAGAGTGTGTGTGTCATGCTGGCAGTGTGTGGGCTGAACCGACCAGCCTTCCACTCATCCTGCCTCTCCCTCCTCTTCTTCTTCTCTCTCTTTTTGTCTCCAGATACACCTCCTCTTCCTCCTCTTCCTCTTCTTCTTCTCCTTCTTTTTCCCATCCTCCATCATCTCTCTCCTCCACCTCTCTCTTCCTCTTCCTCTCTCTCCCTCCCTCTCTCCCTCTCTCTCTCTTCCATCAGTCCTTCCTTTTTTCTTTTCAGTTTATCATCATGGAGAACGAGTCGGTGATCTTCTGGGTGAGTCTCTCTCTCTCTGCATTCCTGTGTGTGTGTGTGTGTGTGTGATATGTGTGTGGCTGTGTGTGTGATGAGTGTGCGTGTGCTTGCGTGTGTGTGTGTACTGCTTGTGTGTATGTGTGTGTGTGAGTGTGTATGTGTGTGTGTGTGTGTGTGTGTCGGTCACTTGCTGCCGGTCTGTAACTTTCAAAGTCGTGACCAATTTTTCTTTAAACTTACATTTTTTTTTAACCTCTCGACATCCTTTCATCTCATCCTTTCCTTCCCTCATTACCTTGCCTCCCCCTTTCTTTCCTTTTCTTCTCCCCTATCTACATTCCTTCCTTCTTTTCCTTACCTGCTCTCCTTCACTCTTCCTTTTACTCTTCTTCCTCATTCATTCCTTCTATCCTTTCTTTCATCTCATCTCCCTCTGTCCCTTCATCTCCTTCCCTCTTCCCTTATTTGCTTCCTTGCCTCCTTTTGTTCTTTCCTTTCCTCTTTTCTTCCTGTCATCTCCTTCCCTTATTCTTCATGTCCTTCCTTTCCTTTCCTTCCTCTCTTCATTTCATCCTCTCCTCTTCCTCCATTCAACTCTTCTCTAACCAATCTTTACTTCATCTCCTTTCCTCATTACCTTGCCTCCCCCCTTCTTCTCCTTTCCTTCTCCCCTATCAGCATACCTTCCCTCTTTTCCTTGCCTACTCTCCTTAGTTCCTCATTTTCCTCTTCTTCCTCAGTCATTTCTTCTTTCCCTTCCTTCATTTCATCTTTTTCGTTTCCTTCCCTCTTCACTCATTTGCTTACTTGCCTCCTTTCGTCCTTTCCTTTCCCTCTCTCTTCCCATCATCTCCTTCCCTCACCCCTCATTTCTTTGTTTCCCTTCTGTCCTTTATTGGCCTACTTCCATCCTCTCTTCACTTTTCTTTCTCTTCTTCCGTTTAATTAATTACATCTATTCCTCTTCTTTCCTACTTCCTCACCTCACATCCTTCCCTTAGTTCCTCCACCCTTTACTCATTCCTCCTCTCTGGATTTGCTGTCTTTCGTTTCTCTTCTGTCCTTGTTGCTCCCCCCTCCTTTCCTTCTCTCCTCATTTTGTTCTGTTTCTCCCTCATCCCCTTCCTCTCTTTCCTTGCCTCCTTTCCTTTCTGTTATCCATCCTTCCTTTTCCTCCCATCTTTTATTTATTTTCTCCTTCATCTCCATCTCTGCTTCTCAGTCCTTTTCTTTCTCTCCTTTCCTCCCTCTGTCTCTCTGAGGGTTCTCTTTTTATTTCCTGTTTCCTCCAGCATCACTTTCTGTGTGTGTGTGTGTGTGTGTGTGTGTGTGTGTGTGCGTGTGTGTGTGCCTGTGTGTGTGTGTGTGTGTGTGCGTGTGTGTGTGTGTGTGTGTGTGTGTGTGTTACGTAAGCTCAGCAGAGAGTGTGTAGGCCGTAGTCTCAGACCGTCTATCTGAAGAGATGATCTGCCTCAAACACTTCAAACAGGAAGTGGATCTTCTTCTTCTTCTTCTTCTTCTTCTGCAGCGCTGACAATCTTTAACAGCACGCGGTTGTCATGGCAACGTGTTAAGGCTGCATGCGTTGATGGTCAAAGGTTGAAAAAAAATAAAACTGCATCGCTGGCTGAAATGGACGGATGAATGATGTCGTGAATCTGCGGCTCTTGTCGTCTTTACGGAGCTTTAAAGTGAGTTTCAGCTCGTTGTTTTCTCATCTTTACTCTTCTGGTTCAGTCAGCGTCGTTTTCAGAGAAGAAGACGTTAAAAAACCAACATTGTTCACTTCCTTTTCAGCATCAAACAGCAGACAGACTCACTTAGAGACATAGAGGGTTGACATAGTGAAGCTTTTAGCAGCTAAAGACACAGATATTTGGTGGAGGAGACCAAAAACGGAGCTAAAAGAGAGAGAATATTGAAGCATTCATTCATTCTTACTTTGCTCTGTAACTGACAGACGTTGTTGCTGTGAAGCAGAAACTGGGGACATGTTGAATTCCCAAAGTATAAAATAGGATTTGATGTTGCGTACGCAACCAGGAGATTAAATGTAAATAATAAATAATGATAAAAAATGTCGAGCTCTTGCTGTTGGATGAGGACGGGAAAATATGTAGTTCATCGTAATTATATGTCGCTAATATCAACCTTTCGTCTGTCCGTTCAAACCACATCTAGCGGCATCAAAACAGGAAGTCAGCGGCAAAGTAGTAAAGCCCGCCTCTTGCTCGATTTTGATTGGTCGCCTGGGTCGAGTGTGACATTGACGAGGGTGTGATCAGCTTAAAGTTTAAACTTCTGTTCAAACGTCAGCGACATTGTTCGTGAGTAACATCCGTAATGTGGACGGAGTTGCTGCTCAGCGTCGCTACACTACCGGACGTCCGCCATTGTTGTAGTTTTTTGCAAAGACACAACGAGCAAAATCTTGGTTTTATTGACCGAACACTGTTTTTTTGCAAGTAAAATACATATTTTCAGACCTTTTAAATGTTTTGTAACCTCTAGGTGGCGCTCACGGCGCTGTAGTTCTGGTTAATGCGAAGAGAAGGAAACGGAACAGATCCGCCGCAGATTTTAGGTTCCAAGGGATGTGAGAAACTTGACAAGATGAAGTGTGTGTGTGTGTGTGTGAGAGATGATGACACAGTGTGTGTTTTATCAGCTCCTGCCGTTGGTTACCATGGTAATGGCCAAGGGAGCTCCATTTTCAGAACACACACGCACACACACACATCCTGGTCACACCTAACAATGAAATGCTTCTCGGTGATCTGACCACAACTGGAGCTTCAGATCCTCTTCAGATGATTAAATATATATAACGATAGAAAATAAAGACCACGCAAGTAAAGAATAAATGTCATTATTAACAGTTAATTACAGTCAAAGTCTTTAATACGAGTTAAAGGGTCATTTTAACACCAAAGTTGAATATTTCAGAGTGAGAATCAGTTCTTTTTGTCCAAGTATGTGAAAGAAATCGAAGGAGTTTGACTCCAGGTTTTTAAGATGAGATAAAATAATCCTTTATGAATAATATAAACAGGATGACAGCGACAAAGTGGAAAGTGCACGAACAAGAGACAAACTAAAAAAACTATTAAAAGGTCAAATAAATCAATAAAAAACATCAAAAACATCAAAATATAAAGTGGTTATGAAATGGTTTGGTTCACATTATCGCACGTATGAGCTAATAAATATGTTTTGGTTGCTCTCAATGTTTGTTTCTTTATTTACATATAACTTTAAAAAAGATCCAAAATATAATCCTCGAGGGAACATGAAGGAGAATTATCAGCAGCATATTACAGGAAATAATCACCAGCAAACTGTAAGAGTGTCAAAAGTAAAAGTACACATTGTGCAAAATTGCTCCACTCAAAGTCTTATATACTGTATATATATATATATATATATATATATATATATATATATATATACACAGTATATATTATAAACTGATTATATGTTTGACATTTAAAATCTTTATCTGAAAAGTACCTTAAGTTGTCAGATTGATGTACTGCTGTGAAAAATGTGATATTTCTCTCTGAGATGTAACGGAGGGGCAGTATGAAAGTGTGTGCGTGTGCGTGTGCGTGTGCGTGTGTGTGTGTGTGTGTGTGTGTGTGTGTGTGTGTGTGTGTGTGTGTTATCAGTGTTGTACAGCTTCTCGGCTTTTTCCTGCCAAACATCCATTCCCTTGGCAACCCAGACAGGGAAACAGGAAGTGTGAGTCACAGGAAGTACTTCTAATCTTTTGCCGATTTTTTTTAAAAATTGTTCAACATGTCCTCCTGCTGTCCGCATTGTCACCCCCCCCCCCCCCCAGACACACCAGCTGGCTAGCATGCTGTTAGCTACTAGCATGCTAGCAGCTGGCTACCAGTATGCTACTGACTGACGGAACAGGAAGCTAACATCCCTCTGCTGGTTTGCCACCAAAGGTCAACAGCTGCTTCCTAGCAGACTGCTATACTTAAGCTGCTAACTGACGACCAGTACGCTAACAGCGCTAACACCACAGAAGTATAATTTATTAATTTATTGCCATTATGCATCGCGGGGTTGCACCAAGAAATGCAGTTGAAGCCCATTTGCTACACAACAAAAACATGACAAACAAAACAAAAACAGTAGTGCATTCCTGTACTTACATCAGGAGGAATATAAGGACAGATAATATAGCCGGCATCTTAACATTAAATATTCAACCTCTCGTTGACTAGACTGTATATAAGAAGTGGACATAGTCATAGTGACGCGACCGTTTGTGGCCGTGTTGAAGCCTCAAATTCAGCGATTTTGCTGTCACCATCTTGGTTTTTGGCCATCGCCATGTTTTTTTGCAACCAGTGAACAGGAAGTGACCATATTTGTCAATCACTGTGTCGCCCCGCCCCTAAAGCATCCCCTGCTTTATGGTCTGTGTGACTCTAAATAGACCATAATGTACTAAATGAACATCATGCTGTATTGAAGAAGACTTGAAACTAGAGATTGAGACCATAAACTCATGTTTACAATGTTTACTGAGGTAATAAATCAAGAGAGAAGTAGAGTCATTTTCTCATAGACTTCTATACAACCAGAGGAGTCGCCCCCTGGTGGACACTAGAGAGAATGTAGCTTCAAGACCAGAATTTCATTAAAATTATAACAGAAGAATATAAACATTTATGAACAATAGAATAACAAATTATTAAGTGTAAAGAAGTAATACTGAGACCACTGCAAAATAGAACACATTAGCAATTAGCTCAAATTAAAACAAAGATGTAGTGAAAGCTCTGTTATGCTTCCTCCGAGCCCCTCTGTCATCTCTTATGTTCTTTCAATTAACCAAAACACATTGTCGTCATCCAGTTAATGCCTCTCCGTGTGTCTCTCATTTGGCTCATCAAATGCTAACCGCTAACCGAAGCTAACGGTAAATCCTTGAGTCCCAGTGAAATAGAAAATAAGACATTTTTAATGTTTAATGTTCTCCTCTGAGAATAGAAACAGAGTGATGGATCAATATTTAGAACTTTACATAATACTACCAGTTATAACGGAGGTTGTTCGTCTCTCGCTCTCTGTTGGGCTTGTTGCTAACGGATACCACGGCTTCGTATTGCGTAACTGACTGAACCTGAAATGGTCTCCGCGAAATGCATCTGTGTCTGACCCAATTCTGGTTTTAAACTGCAAGACAGCTCGCTCCGTCGTCGCTATCCTCCCTCCACTCGTCTTCTGACATGCTGTTTTTTTTCCTTTCCCCTTCCTCCCTCTCCTTCACATCCTGCCTCCCCTTCTCTCCTTTACCTCCCACCCACCTCCTCCCCATCTTCCTCTCGCTCTTTCCTCCCTCTTTTCTACAGGATGGGCAGGGCAGCTCCCAGAATACCGTCTGAAACTCTGAGACCTCTCACTCTGCTGCAGGATTACTACACATCAACCACAGTTATACTACAGAAAGTACTTCACTGTTTGATGTAAAAGTACTTCATCTACTGAGGATTCTGCTCGTCCTACAAGAGGAACTACTTTACTGGTTCTGCTGCTGCTCACAGGGATTACAACGATCTAAACCCACCCAGAGACAGAACCTGGCACCTGGACCAGAACCAGGAGAACCAGCGCTGAACCAGTAAGCCAGTCAGACTCTGTAGAGCGGAGCGGGCCAGCACCAGGACCAGGACAGACCAGAAGAGACCAGTAGAAATCAGTAGAGGCCATTGGAAAAGTTTGATGGGACTGCTGACGATAGGTGAGTGAAGTCTTATTTTTACTGGCTGAGGTTTGGACTCGAGTCTACAGACTGTTTTTGGAGAGAGTTGGTCCTTCCCGCTGCGCGTTAGATCATAAAACTGCTTCTATATTTAATAAACTGGAGGAGAAAGTGGTGTAAACTCTGTGCAGACAGGAAGTTAAGAGACAAGTTGACGCAGTAAAAGCGCTGCCCTGTGATACGCGCTCAACAGTTCATTCTGTAGCCCACACGATCACCGACGGCCGTAGAACTGTAATCGTGTGCAACGCTTTGCATTGTGGGATTGAAGGAACATTTCCACACATCCAAAATTTGGACAGCCAGATAAAATGGTGGTGGGTAAATATAATAAGTTGCAGCAGTTTATGAAGCAATATTCATAAAAAAATATAAAAGAAGGAATTAAAATGAGCTCCACATTTACACATTAATGCATCAATAATATATATGATATAGTATTCTGCATAATGAGTCACTTTGGTACTTGAAGTATATTTTGATTCTTTTGTACTTTTACACATTTTGTTGCAGGACTTTAACTTGTAACAGAGTACTTCTACACTGGAGTACTTCTACTGAAGTCTGATCTGCAGGTTTGTAGTAAAAAGGCTGAAACAGGAATAAAGACTCAGTTTAGACGAGCTTCAGCTGCTTCCTTCATCTCCACGTTCACGGTGTTTAAACTCTAAGAAGTGTTTTCATATCTCAACCATTTCATCTGGTGTGAAGAAGAAGAAGAAGAATAAACCGTTCTGCCTCGTTAGGAACGTGAACGTCTCGTATATTGAAAGTTCTCCGTCTACACTCTGAATGTCCTCGTGAACACTTGATGAATTCTTTGGGTCGCCGGGTTTTTGTTGCCTGAAATGATTCATGTTTACATGTTTTAATTAAACTTGAAGATGTGCTGGGCGATACGGAGAAAATCAAACATAATTTATTTTACCAAATAAATGTCAATATTGTAGAGTTGACTGTCGGTGCCTTCACACAATATTTATGAGATTTTTGATAAATATCAGTCAGTAATGTAGACATCATGATAGAACTGGTGAGCTGACAAGCTGTAATTACCTTAAAAAAGACCAAAATCTGAGACGATATCAAGTCTCATGTCACGATATTAATTAATATCCATATATTTCTCAGCCCTACATGGAAAAAACTGCTAAATATCAGTCTTCATCAACTCCACATGTTTAAGTTCCATCATCAAACTTCCTGTTTCCTTCCTCCGTCCTCCTGTTCAGCGACCACATTTCTCTCACTGATTCTCAGACTGTGATCTCTCTTCACACTATAAAAGGAACAAGTCCTTCTCATGCACCGAGGGGCACATCGACATTCATACCAAAGTCACACCCACAACCTCTAGCTTTCACATCAATGTTTAAACTGCACTTCACTGTTTCAAGAAAGCCAGTTGTTGTTGATGAGTAAACGTGAGCACATGATGTCTGATTGGTTACTTTGGCTTTTTAAACCAGTTGAAAGTGAATCATTGATGTGAAAGAAAGAATGATTTGAAGCTAGAAGGACTTCCTATCAGGACACACGGCGCTTTCTCTCAGAAGCCGTGTGGGCAAAACAAACCAGAGCACTTTGACTCCTGAGTCTTATTTCCAGATGGAGATCGTATTGTTCAGTCTGTGTGGGAGGAAGAGCGGCTCGGCTCGGGTCAGAAATAACAAAAACGGGAAATGATCAAAATGGTGACCCCCCCACCCCCGAAGTTATTTCAGGACGAAGAGTCGGAGCAAGAATTCCACCACCCCTCAGATCGACAATGTAGTGGATCTGAACATCCTGGAGCAAAAGGAAACCACGAGGACGGACCTGAGGAGACGTTACATAACGGAGAACAATGGAGGAAAGAGAGAAAACAACCCGCTCAACACAAGAGCTGCTCCCACTGAGTGTTACCTGAAGGACCCATTCACATCTACAGCGGGGAGGATACAGACGCTGAACACAAAATATGGTATGATTGCACCGAGCAGAAGTGTTTCTGCTTACTGAGGCGTTAAAAAGGGATTGCCAGAAAAGAGTCTGAGGAGATTGAAAGTAAGGAAGAAGGAAGAAGGGAAGACCCAGGAAAGGATGGAGCCTAATCATTTGAAGGGCAGTGGGGCGTCCTGGTTGAGACGGCCGATACCTGCCGGTGATTGTCGTTGATGTCGTTCTCCATCTTCTTCCTCTTCGTTTCTTTCTGCTGTCAAGTCAAAGCCATGAAAATACCACAAAGTATTCTTTAAAAAGAATAGAAGAAGCAAAGATGTTCTGTTTTAGTGTTTGAAGATGGACACAGAACTCATTTGACCTTTTGGGATGGATTTCTTTGTTGTTGTTTGACGTTTCCTTTAGAGGGGAGGTTGATTAGTTGTGAACAATCTGGCTATTGGATGATGATGATGATGATGATGATGATGATGATGATGGATTTCTTCATCAGAAACTAGTCAGCGATCTGACATGTCGGGTTTCCCAGCTTAAACCCATTGAGGAAGACTTGAAACTAGAGATTGAGACCATAAACTCATGTTTACAATGTTTACTGAGGTAATAAATCAAGAGAGAAGTAGAGTCATTTTCTCATAGACTTCTATACAACCAGAGGAGTCGCCCCCTGGTGGACACTAGAGAGAATGCAGCTTTAACACACTTCAGTATCGGCTTTACTCGACAGAACCGGAGGTTGCCGCCTGGTTTCAAGTCTTCGTCAATACAGCATGATGTTCATTTAGTACATTATGGTCCATTTAGACTCAAACAGACCATAAAGCAGGGGATGCTTTAGGGCGGGGCTACACGGTGATTGACAGGTCTCTACCAGAGACGTATACGGCGTCTCTACATCACTCCTCCTCAGTCCAGATATGGTCACTTCCTGTTCACTGGTTGCGAATAAAACAACATGGGGACGGCTAAATCGCTGAACTCAAAGCTTCAAAACGTCCACAAACCAACGGGTGACGTCATGATGACTACGTCCTCTTCTTATCTATGAACGCAGGTCCGTTTCTTCTATGGTTTTTGCTCTGCAGACAACCGTCAACGAGGGGAATCATCATGTCGAAGCTGTGTAATCGAGCTCGTTCACAGCAGTGTGTGTCACAGATTTATATTTGAACAGCTGTCAGAGAGCTGGCTCGTCTTTCGTCTTTACCTTCACTTTGAAGGTTAATCCGTCAAAGGTGTTAAATGAGCTTTCACTCCGGCATTGATGCATGAAAACAAAAAAAAACAGAATTCTCCATTTATGTGGTTTCCTTTTGTTACGACGAATAAGAGTTTCTCAGTTTGAAACCTCCGAACAGGTGAAGATGAGAGGAAACATGAAGGGAAACCCTCCGTGGGGTTGTTTCAAAAAGAGCTTCGTCAGTGTGTGTTTGTTGGCTTGTTAAACCGGCTCAGAGGGAGTTTCTTCAGATTCATGAAACACACCAGAGAAAAACATTATGACCAGTTCCTCTGCGGTGCTTATTGTTTCTCTGTCGACCATCTTCCCCCCTTCAGAACAGGAAAGGGTTTGTTTCGGAGCTTTAAATGGCAGGAAGGTGATCCAGAGCCTCTGATTGGTCGATCTGAAGGGTTTGTTTCTGAAGTGGGGAGAAAAGAACTGAAGGCTGAAAATCAAACCCAACAACTCAGAGCTGACTGCAGAGGCAGGGAGTGAACCGACATGAGTCATTTGGACGTTGACTCAGCGCCGGTATTGTTTCAATAAGCAGAGTTTAGTAATATTCCAGAGCCTGATAATCTGTTGTTTGGACTCAGTTTACTGTTCTGTCAACAACACTCTGACAACAAATGTGGTGAACCGATAAAACAACCACGTGTTTCTGTCACAGAAGAAGATAAACATACGTTATGGTCAGAAAACATCAGCAGGATCTAAAACAGCAGACATATTATTCACCTTTTGTTCAAATGGAATAAATCTTATGCCTGAAATGAAAGGGCGCCCCGAGTTTAAGGGGATCACACCGAGACGCGTCATTACAGGTGAGGCCGCTTCAAAAACGCCTCGTCAAAGCACAAACACTAGAAAAATGTGGCACAAGAGAGGAGCGACACGTTTCTAACTGTGGGTTTCTGTCAGTGCGTTTCTAGCACTGAAGCGTCTCGCGTTTCTAAGAGTAATAATTTATAATGTCTGACGTTTGTAAACTGATGTCTGGGAAGCATTCAGCTGCTGAAAGCTCTGATCACATGATCTAAATTTGGCTCTTTGAACCTTCACCAGACATCTTTATTGATTTCCCAAATCTTGCTTTCTATGATGTTCATATTTCGTGTTTCATTGTGTACAGTTGTTGATGTTTTTGTAATATTCTTTTATGCTCTTTGTGCAAAGCAAATTCCCCCGAGGAGCAATCAAGGCTTCCTTCATTGCATCAAGGTGTCAGTGGTTCCATTTCATTGAAATAACATTTTAGATGCCTGAAGAGTTTTTTCCACAACAAACAGCCAAAGATTGGAGATAAATTAGGAAAAATACATAATTTTAATAAGGAGAATATTTTGTCTTCTTTCCTGTAAATAATCTTGTGAGGTGTTGATGTGGATGTCTGCGGTCGACCTGTCCATGACCTCCACCCAGTTGCATGTTGAGATATTCTGCAGCCCGTTGTGACCATGAACACAGCATGAGTGTTGGTGGAGAATGAATGAATGGAATGTCTTTTAAATCGGGTCCTCTCACATTTCAAAGACTGACATGTGTGTCGAGGATTCCTCCACTGGGTGAGATGTGAGCGTTAAATGTCGCCGCAATTACCAAGCTTTTACTGTAGTAAATGAGAGGAAGTAGGAAGTGATTCATGTGTGTGTGTGTGTGTGTGTGTGTGTGTGTGTGTGTGTGAGTGTTCTGCTGGCTCTGCTTCATTACAGTCACTTAATTTCAGCGTGCTATGAAAATCTACTTAAAATGTGTTTGGGATGTTGACTTTTATGGCGATTTAAAATGATCTTAGTGGCTCAATGCAGCTGAGAGCAGCGGCCGTTTCAAAAACTCTCTCTGCAGGTGCCTTCAAGGACGTGCGGATATCTGACACTTGAGATCTTCTTCCTGTGTTTACTAAAAGAAATTGACATTTACCAAACTACATGTAGAGTGGCTGTTTAGTGGATCCAGGTGGGACTACAACACTGGTTTTACAGGTGTTGCTCAGGTTGTTGTATCACGCTTTCAGTCTCCAGAGGGAGCTGAGTAAAGTCTAATCAATATCCTCAAGTGTTGTCACTTGAGTCAGCATCGGTTGAAGGCCACAAGTTTGAAAAACTGTTTTAAATGACGACGTGAAACCCCAAAAAATAGAATAGAAGTAGAATGAATTTAACTGTTTTCCGTGGTCGTTTTGATGTTGTTAGCTGTTATGGTGACAACACACCGGAGACGAACAGCTGGCTAGTTAGCTAGGTAGGCTAACGTTAGACCCACCTGCTCAGCTCATTATCTGTAACCAGTGTAGCATTACAGCATGGTGGAATTAGCTAGCTAGCTAGCCAGCTGTCCGCTAGTTAGCTAATTCCACCATGCTTTAATGCTACAACGGTCTCAATGGCAACGCTACACATAAAAATGGCCGCCTCTAACTAGCATAACACACCATGATCTCACACGCAACTGTTGGTGGTTGAGTTGCATTGTGGGTAGGCACCAGATCAAGAGAAGGAAGAAGAATGGCTATCTCTGGTTCTGCTGCATCGATTTTAACATTTCCCCGTTATGTTAAATTTAGTTAAAAAATGAATCTGGATGTTATTACTTTGCGTCCAAAAACACATTTTAAATTGTATAATTGTGTTCATTAGTTTTCTGTTTTACAGAAAAGTTAAATAACAATTTTGTGCTTTTACTAACAAAAGAGCAAAAAGGACAGAATTAAGTAAAATTGACTAAAACAAACAAAAGCACAAAATAAAAATAGTGGAGTTATTAAGTTGTGTCCAATGTTACAACTACAACAACAGCAGGTCTGGAGTAGTCGAGGAATGGACGCCATACTTTATTAAATAAGTCACCAGAGTCGGTACGTTTCTCTAGATGTAAGTGTTTCAGACGTCTCTGAACCATCAGATGTAACTGAGGTTGTGTTTCTCCGGTTTAGGAGAACTAGCCTGCCTGCCCGTAACATTAAAAAAGGTCGTAATCATAAACGCTGTTCTAAACTGGTTGCGTATGACGATGTATTTTAGCTTCGGCCTTAAAGTTAACCTGTTAAATATCATTTGTAGTTAAGTTGCGTGCAAAAACAAACGTATCGGTTCAGCTCAGCAGGACGAATCCTCTCAAACCAAACGTGTGTGAACGCGTCTGAACTCCTACATTTACATTTAGTATCGATCTGATATGAATCAGTGAAACACAGACTCCTCTCATCACGGAGATAAAGGACGGAGAGAGAAGCAGCGGGTTGGAGGGTAGCTTCAAACGGGAACTGCGAAAACATTGTTCAACTGTGTTGCCATAGCAACAGCGAGCATGTAGATCGGGGGGCTTTTTTTAACACACACACACACACACACACACACACACACAGAGTGACACTGTGAGGTTAGCACAGGATTCCCTGCTATTCCAGTTTCTATGACAACTCACAACTCCTCCTCCTCTTCCTCTTCCTCCTCTTCCTCCTCTTCCTCCTCCTCTTCCTCCTCTTCCTCCTCCTCTTCCTCTTCCTCCTCTTCCTCCCCCTCTTCCTCTTCCTCCTCCTCTTCCTCTTCCTCCTCTTCCTCTTCCTCTTCCTCCTCCTCTTCCTCCTCCTCCTCTTCCTCTTCCTCCTCTTCCTCTTCCTCTTCTTCTTCCTCCTCCTCCTCTTCCTCCTCTTCCTCTTCCTCCTCCTCCTCTTCCTCCTCTCTGTCTCTGTCTCTGTCATCTCCAGCTGTAATGATGAAGCAGAGCATTGAGTTCTGACATCAGCTCGTCTCTACAGGCGTGAATCAGGCAATCAGGTGTTAATTAGCGCCGATGCTGATTAATACGGATGATAATTAAACAGTAATAATGATGTGTTGATTAGAAGACGGCAGCAGAAGCAGAACTTTGATTCTGATTATTTGTTTTTAAAGCAACACCCAAATTTCTACGACTATCTTTATTAAAAAAACGTAATAATTAGGAGTAAAAATGTTCAAAAACATGAGTTTATGGTCTCAATCTCTAGTTTCAAGTCTTCTTCAATACAGCATGATGTTCATTTAGTACATTATGGTCCATTTAGAGTCAAACAGACCATAAAGCAGGGGATGCTTTAGGGCGGGGCTACACGGTGATTGACAGGTCGTTGTCAGTGTGTTTTCACTTCATAGAAGTTAATTGTAACATGTTGGTCGCCTATGAAAATGTCTTGCTCAGCGTCGGGTTGTAGCTCCGCACTCTTGTTTTGTCCCCGATGGTCTGAATAACTCAAACTTGTCGCTAGTCACCTTTTAGAAATAAAGTCTATATTCTCTATGTGTGTCTCTATGTGTGAGTGTGTGTGTGTGTGAGTGTGTGTGTGCGCGCTCAGCGTGGAAAAACAGGATGTGATGTAACATCCTGCGTCCATTATTCTTAGCATTGGAGAAGGTGGAGGTCAGATCTGTGAACAGGAAGTGGTCGGCCTGGTTTCGACTCGTCATCCATTACACTCACACGTGTGCGTTACATTGTGCTGAACACCTGAGTGAGAGCAGCCGTTACTGCTGTTATCACCGACACTTTTGGAAATGTAAAATGTCTGCTGTGAGGAGAGTCTGTGGGAGGCTGTCAGATTCATGCTAATGTCCCTCTGACACAAAGTACCGATCACGTCCACATAATAATGCTCCTCACATGTACAAATACTTCTACATTCAATGCAAAACACGAGAGGTAACAGCTTTAATCTGAAGTTTGTTTTAAACCCTAATGAAGTAGTAACATAGCGGAGGCAGTAGTGGCTTTATTTACAGTTAAACAACCTCATGATGAATTTAAATAAAGCTCATTAATATAAAGGACAGCTTTCATGAGGTTCTTCTCTGGTTCTGATCGGATCAGCACAAAATATAAAAGGGAGCAAATATAACTTTTACTGATCTCTGATCACGGTTCTTCTCATCATTGATGATCTGTATGAACAGATACAGATCCCTTTGATGTTTGATGATATCAGCTGTCTACAAAGATCCCAAAAATCATTTCAACGATCTGAAGTCAGTAAACCATCAAAAATACTAAATGTTGTATTTTTACTTTAACAGTAATTTATAGTGATTTTTCTTCTTCATAAAAACACACAATTCAAATAATTAGGAAATAAAAGATTCTATTTTTATTGATGAATAAATATCTTCATTATTATTGTTAATGATGTATTATAATGTTCTTATAGCTCGTGTTAGGAAGTTAAACATCATAATTCATCTCTAATATCTATTTTATATTCATGTGAAAACATCTCCTTCAAACTACTGGATTCATTCAAGTTTATCACCAAAACTACATTTTACAGATGACATGTGAACACATCACGATAACGTTATAATGGACCTTCAGCCAGTACTCATGTTCACTGAGCAGAGCCTGAAGGCATCATCATGTAACTGAACGGCTAACCTCCTGTTGGTTAGCCGTTAGCGGTGCTGCTAACGTTACTAGCTCTCCTCCTGTTGGTTAGCCGTTAGCGATGCTGCTAACGTTACTAGCTCTCCTCTGATTGGTTGTTTACAATGAAACATTATCAGAGACCAGAGACTAGAAACACATGTTCTACTGAGTCAGTAAAACTTTATTTACACTCTGATGGTTAACGTTAAACTTTATTTACACTCTGATGGTTAACCTTTGACAAAAACACTAAGTGTACCTCTCAGAACACAGGAGCTGCTGGTCTACCGCTGCTTCTATCGGTTGGTTAGTTTGTGTTATTGAGAGACTTTGGTGTTTTAAAGGGTTAACCACACAACAACACAAACACACTATCAGATGGAGGCAGCAGTAGACCAGCAGCTCCTGTGTTTGGGTAGAGTTAGTGTTTTTGTGAATGGAGTCTGGAAGCTTAGAGCTGTTGTGCTTCATCTCTCTGTCCTAACATTGTGAGGGATTAGAAAGAGATGTTTCACAGTTCAAATAGCAAACTAATGACGGGAGGTGGACGACTCAGATGTCAACATGTCTGAAGAAAAGAAAACTATGGTGCCAAAAATTCATGAAGCCTTTAAAAAGGTCTCGTTAATGTGTCGTATTCAGCTGGTTATTACATATAGCTGGTTAGCTGAACGTGCTAACGATTGCAGTTTACGTTCAGTGTTTCTTTAACTAGCTCGCGAGGGAATGTTAGCTTGGATGCTAACAAGCAGCAGAGGCTAATTAAAAAGAACCGTATCCACAGTTTCCGCAACTTTAATTAGTATTTGTGTTCCCTGCAGACTAATCACAGCTCTCTGTGTGTGTGTGCATGTGTGTGTGTTTCTGTGTGTGTGTGTTTTCTGTGTGTGTGCGTTTGTGTGTATCTGTGTGTGTGTGTGTGTGTGTGTGTGTGTGTGTGTGTGTGTGTGTGTCAGCCACATGCCTCTGAGTCCGGCTGCTGACACCAAACATGATCGCCCACGGCAACAGGCGGTTACTAACGGCAACCCGACAGGCTCTGCTGTTGCCAGGGACGACGACGCGGATGACACGCCCCCTGGAAACAGTATTGTCGTCCGCATTGGCATCCCAGACCTGCAGCAGACGGTACAACACACACACACACACACGTATGCAGTATGTATATATATTATATATGTATATATACTGTACATATATATATGCAGTATATATATATATATTATGTATATGTATACAGTATATATATATGTGTACAGTATATACTAAATGAATGAATCAGCACGACAAACCTGTGAGTCTGTCTGTCTGTCTGTCTCTTTCTCTGTCCGTCTGTCTCTCTGTCTCCGGCTCTCTCAGAAGTGTTTGCGGTTGGACCCAGACTTACCAGTGTGGACCAGTAAGCAGAGGGTTCTGGTGACGTTGACTCAGTCTCTGTCGGATGTTTTGAACTATGGTCTCTTCCAGCCGGCGTTCAACGGCCGAGCCGGAAAGTTTCTGGACGAGGAGCGGCTGCTGAAGGAGTATCCTCTTCCTCCCATCACCCCCATCCCATACCTGGAGGTACAGAATATTTATATTTATATCATTTAAAGTAACATTTCAGCAATAAATTCTTCTCTCAAAACCTCCGGCCCATTGGTTCCTACTGAAAACTTAAACCTTTAAAAACACAAATATTTAGTTATTTTTACTCGCAGTAATTTCCTAAAACAGCTTTTTTGTGTTCAATATTAAATATATTAACGACATTCTGAATATGATGATCTTATGAGGAAATACAGACAAGATATGTGATGTAACCATAAAACTCTAATGATATTTAATTCTGCTTCTTTTTCACAATTATTAACTTTATTAATTGCAGTAGTTTTTATTTCAAACTGTCTTTTTTCTAAAGTCTGTTTCGTTGCATTTTTTCTTCACGTTTGGATGTTGTGGTCCGCTAACAGCTAACAGCTAACGGCTAACCTCCGGTTCTTTAAAGTGAATACAACGCTTCATGTGTTAAAGCTGCATCCTCTCTAGTGTCCACCAGGGGGCGACTCCTCTGGTTGTATAGAAGTCTATGAGAAAATGACTCTACTTCTCTCTTGATTTATTACCTCAGTAAACATTGTAAACATGAGTTTATGGTCTCAATCTCTAGTTTCAAGTCTTCTTCAATACAGCATGATGTTCACTTAGTACATTATGGTCCATTTAGAGTCAAACAGACCATAAAGCAGGGGATGCTTTAGGGCGGGGCTACACGGTGATTGACAGGTCTCTACCAGAGACGTAGACGGCGCCTCTACATCGCTCCTCCTCAGTCCAGATATGGTCACTTCCTGTTCGCTGGTTGCAAAAAAACAAGATGGCGACGGCCAAAATGCTGAACTCAAGGCTTCACAACATCAGTCCACAAACGAGTGACGTCATCATGACTACGTCCACTTCTTATATACAGACTGTGTGTAATGCCTGACGGAGCTGATCCATAGATCACAATGAGAGCATATCTGAGACGTGCAAATGAAAAACATGTCTGACACTCTTTGCAGTCTCGACGGGCGGTGAGACAATCATGCTGTTTTTAATAGTCTTTGTGCAACAATGGAGCTCTGTGGCACAGAGGAAGAAGATGTCTCAGACTTTGATACTCACACAATACTTGTTGGTAGATACGAACAAAGATATCAACGCAGCGCTTTTAACTATGTTTCACGAGTTGAACTGAAAATTTTAAGACTTTTTCACTGCACACAAAAGACTTGTTCCTCTCAGACTTTGGTCACGGATTTGTTAAAATTCATATCAGTGATCACTTTTTGCTTATTACACAGGTCACAATCACAGACTGTATAAAAGAAGTGGACGTAGTCTTGGTGACGTCACTCATTGGTTTGTCGTCTGATGTTTTAAAGCCTCGAGTTCTGCGATTTCGCTATCGCCGTCTTGGATTACGGCCGTCGCCATATTGTTTTCTCAACCAGTGAACAGGAAGTGACCATATCTGGACTGAGGAGGAGTGACGTAGAGACGTCGTATACGTCTCTGGTAGAGACCTGTCAATCACTGTGTAGTCCCGCCCTAAAGCAGGGTATGCTTTAGGGCGGGACTACAGGGCTAAACTCATGTTTACAATGTTTACTGAGGTAATAAATCAAGAGAGAAGTAGAGTCATTTTCTCATAGACTTCTATACAACCAGAGGAGTCGCCCCCTGGTGGACACTAGAGAGAATGCAGCTTTAACACATGAAGCTTTGGCTTCACTCGGCAGAACCGGAGGTTGCCGCCTGGTTACAATAAAAGTCCACTCTAAAACATACATTTATATTACAAAAACACTTCAGATCTCACACGAGTTGACAGAGCGCGTCGTTGTCCTGCTGACTGTGTTTGTACACTCGTATATTTGTGTAAGCATCTTTTGAGTTTGTCGGAACTAGCCGAAACCTTTCACCTTTTGTTTTACAGTTCCGTTATAAGCGGAGAATTTACACCCAGACCTACGTGGACGATAAGCAGCTGGCAAAGCTGCACACCAAGGTACACACTCACCTTCAAGGGAACTTATAGAAATGTTGATTTTGTACAGTTTTTTTCTTTAGATAATTTAAATCTTGTTTTTCAGGCAAACCTGAAGCGTTTTATGGAACATGTTCACCAGAAGAATGTGGAGAAGGTTTCCAAATGGTTGGAAAAGGGCCTGGACCCCAACTTCCATGACTCGGACACCGGGGGTGAGTACTTATACACACAAAGTACCACTTAAAGATTCACACAGATGATTCTGCTAAATCCTCTTGTTTGTCGTCTTATCCAGTTATCAATATGTCAAACATGTTGTTAGCCTAGCTTAGCATAAAGGAACCTGCTAGCATAGCGCCATTGAAAGATGAAAAAATACACTTTACAGCAACTTCAAAACATCTTGATTTCAATGCTGTATCTTGTTTATCAAACATATTTGTAGAAATTAATATCAAAATGAAAGTTTGTGGTTTACTGAGCCGTTAGCATCGGTGCTACGTCTGTTTTCTGTTGTTACCTTGATTCAGATTGTGTCCACCAGCTCTTTAACCAGCATTCATAAAATAGATTTACAAATATTGTACAGTCGTCAAAGGCTAGAGACAAATCATTATTTTGATCCTGTTTCGATTGTGCCATAAATTACACATATGATGTTTGTCAATGTAAAAGATAATTTTCCACGTAAGAAAGTTGCATTTTGTTGTAAAACTGCTGAAGTGTAAGAAGGAAATACATAATTATTTAGACAACATACAAAAGTAGCGTACGTGACGTTTCTCTCTGAAGCTACGATCGTTCTTTCTCTTCCCGGGTGATGAAAAGAGTCGCGTGATAAAAACACATCGCATAAGATACCGTTGGAAAATGGCTACGTTAGCTAGCTAGCTAGCAAGCCAAGCTAACGCCCAAGTTGGTGTTTGGTGACGTTCGTTGTGCGAGACGAGAGGTTCAGTTCATTGAATTAATCTTGTAAATCAACAAACTATTACTGTACA